ATTATAAAATAAACTTTTTGTAACGTATGTTGTCAAAGTTTATAAATTTAAATGTTTATAAAAAAAAAAAATGGTTTGAGTGTAATTTTAGTACTTTGCCACTACTTAAATTCTATGCTTATATTTTACTGTCGTAAATATTAGAAAAAATCTAAATTTAAATAATATTACATTATTTTTGTTCTTCCTTTCCAATAACATTTTTGCAAATGCTCTCATTTTTTTTGGATGTGGTGTAGGAACTCTCATTAAATTGCCTGGTTCTTCTAAACTAGAATCTTCTGTAAACCTGATTCTTGTATTTGTTCTAAGAGGTTTATAATTTTGATCTTTAATTTCTAGAAATAATATTGTACATATATTTTATTTATAAAATAACAATAAAAAATACAATTTACCAGTATAGCTATCTTCTCTTTGTGGTAATAAATAACAAGTTAAAATATGTTTTCCAGTCTCATGTTCATAATCATTTTGTAAGGGTGTTAGCGGTTTGCTTTGATTTTCGGAAAGCCAAAGTGCATTTAGATTTTTTAACTTAAGAACTGAAAGGGGAAGGTTTTTTATCTTGTTTTGTGTCAACATTAAAACAACTAAATTTTGTAAGCTTCCAATGCCATCGGGCATACTTGATAAATTATTAGATCGTAGGCTGAGTTCTCTTAAGTTCCTACAGCTACAAATCTCTAAAAACAAAGAAATGCACTATATTAATAAGTTATTGTTATGAAAGTCAGAAATATTTTCTAACTATAAATAAAAAAAAATGAATTACCTGTTGGTAAACTGGTTAATCGATTGGCATCCAAACGCAATGTATTTAATCTTCTCATCAAACCAACAGTAGGTGATAGAGATTCTAAACAATTGTAAGAAGCATCAAGTTCTTCTAGGCACTGAAAACCTTCAAAAATACTATTCATTTGTTTCAGACAATTATGATCTACCTTTAATGTGATTAAATCATGTAAATGCTTCATTGAATTCGGTAAACTCTGAAATAAAGTTATAATTAAATATTAGATAATAGTAATTAAGATAATAGAATTTAATTTACCTTTAAATTRTTAAATGATAAATGTAGATCTTTTAATTTTGAACAAAATTGAATATCTTGATCTATCTTAGAAATTCTATTATAACTAGCATCTAAGTACCAAAGTTCATGTAGATTGCTAACTTCCTAAAAAAATTTGAATATT